CTAGTTTCTTAGTAAAACGTCAGTGTAGTATCTACACCAGCTCCATGGATTCCTCCTTGGAGATCGTCCTGCCTGAGGGCCCGGAATCAGTCAGGTGTGCCTGTGAGGTTGTCCATCACGATCACCTGGAAGCTTATCTTCCAAGAAGGCGCAGGCTGGCGCCGCCCGCGAAGAAACGGACACAGCGGGGGCTGAAATGGGTTGCTGATATCTGCATGAAAATTAAGAAGGAAAATGATTTCGAGGGCCCAGCCAGGTGTGGCTCAGCGGTTGAGCAACGACCCAGGAACCAAGAGGTGGATTCCTGGTCAGGGCACATGCCCGGGTTGCGGGCTTGATCCCCAGTAGGGGGCGTGCAGGAGGCATCCCATCCATGATTCTCATCATGGATGTTTCTATCTCTCTCCCTTCCTCTCTGAAAATAATAAATATATATTTTTAAAAAATGATTGAGAAGCCCTGAAAAGCACTCTAGCTATGGGCTAGGGATAGGGCTGAAAAGATGCCCACGCCAGCTCTGCAAGTCAAATGCCCAAGCGGACTCGAGCGTGCAGACCTACCCACACACTGTGCTCCCACGTGCAATCTCAGAAATAGTCCTTGTGGCAGGATTTTCGGTATTTCTGACAGCGCCTGCTGCTCGATGCAGAAACGAAAACCACGTTAGCATGCACGGTGCTGGTTTGATGTCTGGCTCGGTCCCAGGCAAACGGAATCAGTGACGTGGGCTTTCTTTGCATTCTCCCCCTAACGACCTCCCAGTAGTCAGTGGAGAAAACATACTCCCACTTTCAAAGAGCTTGCCATGTAATCCGCACAAGGGATAAAGCATAATTTAAAGTTTTTAAAAAGTTTTTAAAATATATTTTTAAAGTCACTTAGTTTTATAGTTTAGGTTATATATTTTTTTTCAAGTTATTTAAATGTAAACTTACCCGACATCATATATGCAAGGTTTTCCCATATTTCCAGTCATTTACTTTTCAGTGACAATGTATAAATGGTTCTCTTGTTCTATTCCATTTAGAATGAGGCAGCTAACATCCATTGCTTTCGACTTATAATGTGCCATAAATATCAGTTGCCCTCAACAGTATGTTCTCCATAAATCTATTAACCAAGATGGGCAACAGCCTTGAGCACTTAACAAATCAAGATATGCAAATATCAGGTGCTCAATATCAGTAGTCATTAGAGAAATGCAAATTGAATCTTCCATAGATACCACTTTCTACCCATTAGAATGGCTAACATTTAAAAGATTGAAAACACCAAATGACAAGGGCCACGGATATGGAGCGATCGGAACTCCCACACATTTCTGGCGGTGTGTAAATGGTCCAATCGCTTTGGAAAGCTGTTTCTAAGAAAGTCAAAATATACCTACTTTGTGATTCAGCATTTCCACCCCCTAGGTGTTTGCCTCTAAAATAAATAAAAATATATGCCAACAAAAATGTTTGTACAAGGATGTTTTTGATATTACTCACTATAACCAAGAGCTTGTAACAATTTAGAATGGATAAACAAATTGTTATGTGTTTATATAATATTGCTATTTAGTAAGGAATGAGAGAGAATGAATGACCAACCCATGCAACATGCATAAGTCTCAAAGACATTGCCTTGAATGAAAAAGCCAGGGACACCAAAGTTGACGTACTGCATGATTCTATTTACATGAAACTGAATAACAAACAACAGTCATCTGCAGAAAGAAATGAAAGCAGCAGTTGCCTCTACACTGGAGGTTGACTGAGACAGGGCCTAGGGAACTTTCCGGGGGTGATGGAAACAGTCTATCTCAAATAGGGTGTTGGTTTCACATTTGTCAAAACTCCTTTGATTGAACCCTTAAGATCTATGCATTTCGCTGAGGGTGAGCTTTACCTCCATTTAAAAAAATAACATTAAGCCCAGCTGGTGGGGCTCAGTGGTTGAGCATCAACCTAGGAACCAGGAGGTCATGGTTCGATTCCCGGTTAGGGCACATGCCCTGGTTGCAGGCTTGATCCCCAGTGGGGGGTGTGCAGGAGGCAGCTGATCCATGATTCTCTCTCATCATTGATGTTTCCATTTCTCTCTCCCTCTCCCTTCCCCTCTGAAATCAATAAAATATATATATATTTTCTCCCCATACACACACCC